ACATCGAACGAGACGTGGAGAAGCGGAGCATGCGAGTGCACCAACGGAAGTACCTGGAGGCGTTGGCTGCCAACTTTGGCCAGAGTGAAGGTCATGTGGCTACTCCCTTTCCCTCTGGGTTCAAGTGTGTGAAGGGACCAGAGGAGGAGAGCGTTTGTGAAGAGGAGAGGCGCCGTTTTCACTCGTTGGTGGGCAGCCTCATGTATGCGGCGGTAAACACCCGACCGGACGTCGCGTTTGCTACCGGGCAGCTAGCTAGGGTAGTGCAATGCCCTAATGAGGAGCAGGTAGCAGCTGGAATGAGGGTGGCCAAGTATCTTGGCCAAACACCGACCGTTGGGTTGCAATACTCGGCGGCGGCACAAAGGCGCCAAAAGGGCGCGGATGGTGTTGAACCCGGGCGTTTGTTCCTCACCGCCTACTCGGATGCTTCATATGCATCAGAACCAGAGGACATGACAAGTGTGGGAGGCTTCATATGCTGTGTTGGTGGAGGCCCAACTGCTTGGGAGAGCAAGAAGCAGGTTGACCAAGCTTTGAGCTCGGTGGAGTCCGAGTACATGGCACTCTTCCGTGCCGTACGGGAGATTGTGTGGCAGCGGCGTTTGTTGGCTGAATTGGGGGAGGAGCAGCAAGGACCTACCCCACTGTACTGTGACAGCCAGGGTGCCATTGCTCTTGCTAAGAACCCTGTGTTGCATGGACTCACGAAGCACATGAGGGTGAAGTGGCATTGGACGAGGAGCATGGTAACCGCGGGTGAAGTTGAGTTGCGCTACGTGAAGACCACGGGGCAGCCGGCTGACATGATGTCCAAGAGGCTGGTGGAGCAGCAGCATTGGAAGTGTTGCAAGCTGGCTGGGATGGCTCTGAACTGAGAGAGCAACATATCCTAAGGCCAACAATCCGAGGGGGAGTTTGTTGGTGCAACCCTACGGTTTGCACTCGGCTTGTTGTCCGTGTGCGTGCATGTGTGTGTGTATGGAATGGTATGAGGGCATGGGATAATATATATTTCATGCTTATAATTGTGTGTGAATGTTGAGTCATGATGTCGAGTGTGCGTGTCGAGTCAATAGCGAGTTATCGCTAGACGCGTGTTACGCGGTCGTTTGTGTCTCGCGCGCGGTTTCTATTTTGTCGTGCGCGGTTTCTATTTTGTCCTGTGTCGAACGTTCGGTGTGTCGCAGGTGTGTGCAGCAGACCCATCAAGAACTCAAGGATGAGTTTGTGATGAAGAGCCCGAGCCTTGGTGTCAAGCCTCAAGTGATTTCGAAGCTCGCCAAAAGGGTACACCTCAAGATATTGAAGATAGTTACATTACTTTGTGTAGTGTAACATTTCACTTGGTGTAGGCCCTAGTGAAGGGTAGTTTCGAGACCCTTCGTGGTTGGGGACAGTGTGGCACTGTTCCACATCACTGTACCTCGGCTCTTGGGGTTTGTAGGAGCTGGGAGTCATTCCCAACTCATAACTCTTCCTAACTCTTCCTATCTTGTGTTCTAAGACTAGAGTGGCTGCCATAGTGCCGTTCGTTCAAACTGACGCTGTGTCGTCAATACTTGGTGAAATCGTGCGATCTAAATTGCCTATTGTAGGCGACAATAAGAAGCTCCAGATCCAAGTTGAATCAAGTCATTTGAAGCTGTGACCAGAACGCTATGAAGGTTTGAAGCCGCTGTGCAGAAATCCGACTGTGCACTCTATCTTTCGTTTTAGGCACATTGGAGCCTACTGTGACTATAACAGGCACACCCGCCAACGGATACCACGACGGCGACGGTTCCCTTGCTCGCCAAAGTCGATGAGCCTGCTGATGAGGATGTTCTTGCTCCTCCCTTCCCCGTCGCAGATCCGCCTGCGTCGACACTTTTGTCGGCCACCGGCGATGAGGGGAGCCTTGAGGCGTCGCCTGTGGCGCCGGCCAGTGGCATCGCCGGCGGTCGACAAAACACCAAGCTAGTCGACCAGGATGAAAATTCGTCGACGACAGGGGAGCAGCAGACAGGGGAGCCGGTTGAACAAGAGGCATCACCAGGGGTGCAATCGACAAGGGAGCTGACGAAGTTAGCAGAAGACTTGGCCGTCGACGAAGAAGGGGAGCTGTCGGCAGGAGAAGAGTCCACCGACAGCGACGTGGTGGAGGTGCCGATCACGAAGCCTGAGCTGCGACGCACTGGTCGAGCTCGACGGCCGCCGGAGCGGCTGAGCTTCCACACCTGCCTACCACCAGCTGCCTTCACCACTGTGTACGACGAGGTCGACGACGACCTGTTGTACGACAACCCCAAGGAGGATGAAGAACTGCCAGAGCTCGACCCCGACGTACATGCCGACCCCGAGCACCGCTGGGACATCGCCACGATGACAGTGAACGAGGCGCTGGCGAGTTGGAAGGGTGAGGCGGTGAGGGCCGCCATGGAAGAAGAGATCCGCAGCCTCACCGGCATGGGCACTTGGGAGCTGGTCGAACGCCCACGCGGGGTAAACATCATGAAGAACCGATGGGTGCTGACAACCAAGTACCGCATCGACGACACCGTCGAGCGCGAGAAGGCGAGGCTGGTCGTAAAGGGCTTCACGCAGGTGTGCGGTGCCAACTACGACGAAACGTACTCACCGGTGAGCAGCTACATCACGTTGAGGATCTTCCTCAGCATCGTCGCCGTCCTCAACCTCAATCTGATGCAACTCGACATGAAGAACGTTTTCCTGCAAAGCAAGCTCGACAGGGTGCTCTACATGTACCAGCCGGACTACTTCGACGATGGGACCGGCCGGGTGTGTAAGCTGCTGAAGAGCCTCTACGGGCTGAAGCAGTCGCCGCTGCTGTGGTACAGGGCACTCGACGGAGTGCTGCTGGGCGCTGGCTGGAAGAAGAGCCAGGTTGACGAGGCGCTCTACTTCAAGGCCAGTGATGACGGGTTGACCTGCTGGGTGCTGGTCTACGTTGACGATCTGCTCGCCGCCAGCAGCAGCCCCGCGATGCTGAAGGAGCTAAAGGGGCTGTTAGAGGCTGCCTTTGAGCTGCGTGAGATCTCGCCGGTCGTCAAGTACCTCGGGCTGGAGATCGTGCGTGACATGCCAGCAAGGAAGCTGTGGCTTCACCAGCAGGGCTACGCCGATAAGCTGCGTAGGCGCTTCATCGACGAGGAGCAGGGCGGTCGAGTCCCGAAGACGCCGGTCTCGGTCGATGCCTACGCCGGGCTGACATTCGACGACGAGGAGGCCCAGGAGCACGAGGAGGAGGAGTACCGGCAGAAGGTTGGCTCGCTGCAGTTCGCGGTGACGACGACAAGGCCGGACATCGCGTTTGCCTGCAGTAAGCTGGGAAGCGGTCTCATGGTGAGGAGCGACCAGCATTGGCGAGAGGTCGACCGCTGCCTCGCCTACCTCGCTAACACCCGCGACACCGCCCTGGAATTCGGCGGTGGACCAGAGTCGCTGGAGCTGATTGGCTATGTGGACGCCGACGATGCGGGCGACAAGCAGAACCGGACGAGCACGGGAGGCTACGTGTTCGTCTACGGAGGGGCCGCCGTCTCCTGGTCGAGCTCGCGCATCAAGTGCGCGACATTGTCGTCAACAGAGTCGGAGTACGTTGCGACCACAAATGCAGGCAAGGAGGGACGCCGACTTCGCTTCCTTCTTGCGGAATTCAAGCTGCTCGGCGCTGGGAAGCCGACCATCCTGCGCGTCGACAACAAGTCGGCAATTACGGTCGCTGCGGGCTTGGGGTTGACAGGCAACCTCAAGCACATGGAGCGACGCTATGCCTGGCTGCCGCACATGGTGAGGCGCGGGAAGTTCGTACTGAGGTACATCCCGACCACCGAGCAGCCGGCAGACTTCCTGACGAAGGCGCTGCACTTTCCGGCTTTCAACCGGTGCACTGTCGCCATCGGCCAAGTTCGTCTGGCCGATATCGGCGACGGCGACGATGATGCGCAGCAGTAGGTGCCGTGCCCTTCTGCACGGCTGGTGCGGTGACGGCGTGCTTTGTGCGGGATGCACGCCAAGGACGAGTTTTCTCCGTGGAGCACTGCCGTGTGGGCTGGAGGCCCAAGCGTGAGCGTGGCAGGGGAGTGCTAACGGGAATGAAGTGTTGGCCCCGCCCTCGCTTGGGCAACGCCGACGACTTGGTCGGATGTACGGGAGTAGCAGCCGACCATCCGCAGTGGGAGAGCTGCTCGACACGCTTTGTCGAGCTGCAGGGGACCGCTGTGGTGTTGCTGTCGACCAGGGAGCTCGACAGCTGCAACTGACTGGTCTGGGCGACGGGTGGGTCGTCGACTAGGAGGGGCTGCTCGACCGGGAGGTCGACAGAGCAGTCCGTCGACCTGAGAAGTGAGCAGCGGTCGACGAGGGGAGCTCGTCGACTACAGCTGACAGTTTTGGTCGACGGAAGGGGTCCGTCGACCAAGGGGTAGCTCGACGGGAGCTGTGATCGACCAGAGGCACTTGGGGTTGTCCAGGTCGACCGGGTAACCTGCTCGGCGAGTTCTGCGGAGGCACACAAACGTCGCCGAGGTCGCGATGGCGAAGGTGACTTCGGATTGGTATCCCGAAGTCGATGTGGCTCGTCAGGCGCAGACAACAGCCGACGTATGCACAACGGTGCAAGTCAGGCCAATCGTCTGCGCGCATCGGTGAGCGTGAGCACTGTTGGCTACTACGAAGCAACGCTGGACAGCCGCTCTGCTGCAGCGTTGGCACACCGTCGACCTGCTGTGTTAGCAGGTCGCCTTTCTGCAGTGCTGGCACGGCTCATCTACGCAACGCTGGCAGGCGGTCGACCATGCTGTGCTGTCAGTCGACCAGGCTAGCTGCAGAGTTGCTATGTGCCTGATGTAGTCATTCTTGTCATTGCCTGTTTGAACAATTCTGTAATTCCAACTTTGCTAGTGAAACTCTTTGCCGATTTCTCTCGTGCTTGTGCAAGCACTAAGGAACTAGGCAAAGCTAAGATCACTCCTAGTAGTTCGTGCCAACCCCGTAGTCTAGCTCACCACCTTTGTAGAGTAATTCTCCACAGTGTCGTCCCTCTCAACCATATGAGCTCGTAGCTTCTTCAAGTACTGGCTCCCTTGCTTCCCTTGCATCGCCTTGAGGTCGTCCTTCGTGTTCCAACGAGCGGCCGCGAGTGATGTCAGCTCTGCGTCCAACCACACTCGCTTGTTGCGCTTCGCCGGCGGGCGCTTCTCCTTCTTCGATCGACGTGTGCTGCGGTCGTCACCGCTTCCTACTTCGGCACCGTCCGAATCTTCCTCTTCGTCGTCACTGCCGGCCTTGTAGTTGTCGGAATCGGCATCACTGTCCGATTCCGACACGATCTCCTCAAGATCGTCGTTGCTGACGTCCGTGTCGCCCCCAGTTTCGTCGTCGTCGTGCCCAGGACCGCTGCTAGTGCTGGCGCCAGCAGAGTCGCGCTTTGTCTTTGCAATACGCTTGATGGAAGGGGACGGCTTCCCCTGCTTTTGCTGCTCCTTCATCCATGCGACATACGGGGGGTCTTCCATCGGTTCATCGTCGCTAAGTTTCTCCTTTCCCTTGCCGCGTGCGCTTCGACGTGGAGGCATTGCTAAAAACGTAGATAGCGGGCTGGTTTGGAAGCTCGGGAAGACTTGTGAGGGAGATCTGTTTGCTCATGCTTGTGCTGATTGCCCAACTGCTGGAAACCCTTGCGTGGGGAAGTTGCAAGAGGGGTGTTTGGTTGGGTTGGGATCTGGAGCCGCACAGATCTGCATGTAACTCTACCCACCGGGAATTTTGACGGAGTTGAGGGTGGGGTGAGTGTCGCTCAACCAGATGAAGGAGTTCGTGTATCATGGAATGGCGCGTCTCAATTGGATGCGACTGTCGTGGGGCCTGAATTTTAGGCGGGAAAACCCACGCGCCAGTTTGGGGGTCGCATGAAGGCATTGGATCCAAAGTGGTGTTTTGTGTTGCTTGAGTCATCCGCAAAATGCGGATGCCCGGAACAGTGCCCATGACCGGAACCAAAGATACGCCCTTACTCGTTTCAATGTCGGTATCTTCTACGGTATCTCAATGTATAAAGTTGGTTTTAACGCCGTGAGACTATGTCTTGTGGCCGAACCAAATTAGAATATCGATAAATAATAATAATGCTGCATGAATTGCCGGGCATCAGTCCCGCTATGCACCATGATGCATTGCTGAACGGGGGATACTTGAGCAAACATGTGTTTGCACCGCGCGAACATTTTGGGCCAAGCTCATGCGCTTTTTGCCTCGGTGAAGGACCAAAGCAGAGGCAAATACCCAGAGAGGTGATGATTGCTGGTAGTAAGTCCCCACCCACAGATGATCCTGAAGTGGCCCTGTCAAGATAGATGGGACTTCCGAAGGATGAGGTTGCGGGATCAATCCCCAGAGTCGGCGAGTTCCGCCAGCCCCCCAGAAAGGGGTTTCACACTGCTCATCTGGAAGTGGATATATCCTTACCTCGATACTCAGTGAGGCGTGTAACCAAGTGGGTAGGCAGATTACGATCGACGGCTGGGGGTAACCCAAAAAGGGTTCTCCCCCCTCCTTTACCTTTACCCCACCCACAGATGGTTATGGTTTGAGACGGCAACGATGGCATACGCCTCTAGCAGGGAAATAAGAGGGTGAGAAATTTTTGTTGCTCTAAATGAGTTACTGAAAAGAGAAGGATGAAAGCCTATTGAATATTATTATAATGTAGTATTATACATTCATAAGATTATACCAGTAGTACATGCAGTTGAGAAGCTGTGCTCATTATTCAGCGAATCCCACAATAGCGACACATCGAAATGAGAATGACTTCTGTCAGAATTTACAGCAGCCGTCGAATCCGAAATCCTCGCTCTGAATTTGATCCAACATCCCATCCCACCCTCCTCCCCTTACTGACAAAAAGCCGCGTCGGGTAGATTGTGTTGCTTCTTACGCCCAAGCGCCTGAAACTGGAACCAGGATTTTTGTTGTGAAGGCCACTTCATCGCCTTCCATCGACTCGCACGATTCACCACTCTCAGACTGCGGCTTCGAGTCAGACTGCTCCGACTCCCTCACGATCAGTCGCTTGATGAACGGCGGGAAGAACGGCCACAGTCGCTGCTGCAGCTCAAGCAGCTGCCAGTCGTCACATGTGACCACCCCACGGCAGATCGACGCGCCGCAGTGGCAACTGAAGTTGTCACTGCTGGTGCGGACGACGCCTGCGTTGGTGCTCCCGTAGTCGATGCTCAACTCTTCGCCTTGCACGATGTCCCGCAAGGCCACCACCGTCACCGAGTCTTCCAATCCGCAGTTTGGGTCGCACGAGTGGTTGATAAAGTCGGGCGTCTCGGGCCCACGCGTCGGATGCGGCACCTGCCAGAGGTGATCGTTGACACGCAGCGAGAGCTCTTGCGTGCGCTCGTCGCTTCCCAGCAGGTAGTCGAGGCCGACAAGCTTGCCGGCGAAGACGAGAAGCGGTTCGCCACGTCGGACGCTCGCCAATGCGAACATCCCCTTGAAGCCGTCCGCGCCGCCTTTGTAGCGAGGAACCACGCGCGGGTCGTACCACCCCGACTCGGCCATCTTCCGCTCGATATAAGCCGAGCAGTGGCCGGCGAACCGCCGCTGCCAGTCGTGCAAGCGCCACTCGGTGAATGTGAGCGTGTCACGGCAGCACGCGGCGCCGCAGCGGCAGTGCAGGCCGGCATGCATGCTACCCTCCGTCTCCGTGCAGGCGTAGTCGTACGTGACGTGCTCACCCGGGCGAATGTCGCGCAGAGCGACCATGCAAGTAGCGGTAGCGTACCACGTGTTGGGGTCGCACGAGTGGTTGTAATAAAAGCTCGGATCTTCGTCGGGGTCAGTTATCGTGTCGTACATGTCGTCACCGACCATGTACGAAAAGTGAATCATCATTTCGCGCTTCTTTTGATCGGGTTCCGCTGATAAGTCACGAGCGTGGTACACTCGCCGCGCAGCGGCCTCTTCTTCGTCCCAATCGCAAACGACCTCGCCTTGTGCGATAAAGCTGCGCGCGAACAGCCCGCAGCATCGGAAACCGTAGAGCTGGTGCTCCTTCACGACGATGTGCGGGTGGAGACCCATGATGGAGGAGCGAGAACGGTTGGAGGATGAGTGTGTGTGAAGCGTGCAGTCTGATGATGCGAGGAAATGGTGCGCTGAATTAGTTCTATCATTGCTTGAAAGTTGAGACTGATCCAAAACGCCGTGAGATGCTGTCTTTATGGATTCTAGGGGAATTGGTGTGGAGGCGTGATACACTGAACGAAGGCAGAGGCCCTCAAGGTGAGGTTAAGGAACTGTAAGTCAATCACCCACCAAAAATCGTTCGCGTTCCACACGAAAGTCGGCCCCATTCGCCCAACGAAATGCTGAGGCCTCGAGGTGAGGTGATGGAATCGGAGGCCAATCACCCACCTAGTATGATCGCATTCCAGACGAAGATCGCTTCCATCCGCCCAGAACGAAGGCGGAGGCTCGTCGATGTGAGGTGATGGAATTGGAAGCACATCACCCCACCTAGTATGATCACGTTCCAGACGATGATCGCCCCCCAAAGGCAGAGGCTCCTCAAGGTGAGGTGAATTGGAAGTCGATAATCTGGTGATAGACTTCTGATTCCATCTGGTACGTTTCTTGTACATTATTTGCGGTCTAATCTGTTTTGTCACGGTGCAAAACGGTGTAAGAGAAAACTTCTGACACCGTATCTAACCGTTTTAAAAGCGGTTAGAAACGTACGAGTTGCAATTTCCCTACCATTGTTATGCTCCAGTGATGATATGCATGCATGCTTGGCGGATGGTCAATTGTCTTGGGCGAAGAATGACGTTCGCAACAATCGTAAATTGTCATGGGAGTTGATCGCACGGTTTGCAGCCTAGGCGTACAACTCATCCATTCGTTGCCACACCAGACATTCGATAATACCCATCGCCTGGAACGCGATCATGTGTGCGTGGAAGAACCCTGAAACGGGAACACCGAATGAGTGATTGACGTGTGGCAACTTCCGCCAAGGCAGAGCATCAGCGGGAAGCCTATTTCTGAGAATTCAGCACGGAGCGTAGGATTTCTCGATCCGACGGTAAAGATGAAAATCGAAAATCGAGTCATCTCCGCATCTCACGCTTTGTGAGAGTGGAATCGCGTTGCGACCAATACCGTTCCACAGTGTACATTCCCCATGGGCAACACATGGATTTGAATCTCTCATGGTCAGCCAGGGGGCTGAAACTTGAACCTGTGACTACCCTGGACACTCTAGCTGCTGCTGCTGCCAGCCAGCTCATTTCCTCTCGAACAATTGAATCAACCAAGCTCTCTTCTTCACGAAGTGCGTGACAAAAGAATCTCACGCATCAGCCCCTTTTCTCGTCTCGGTAGCTTATCGATTCAACACGATGATCCGAGCAATCCTGGCTATAATACACGGAGGAGCGAACCATAGCGTGAAAGATTGACTGAGAAAGACGATAGCCAAAAAGGAGTCTAACAGAACAGATACCGCTACTCACCAACTATTGGACAACCAGACGCGTGCGAGTTATTTCTATCCAAAGCAGGGGGGGGAGACCCAGTTCAGTCGAACGGGCGAACAGACCGATGGAATAACAAACTGACAGTAAAAGCAAGCAGGAAATTCCGTCGTAGGCAGCCAAGCGACACGAAAGCAACAGATTTTACCTGTCGACAGCGACAGTTGAGGCGGGTCGAGGTGCCAGCAGCACCCCAGTCCGACCAGTGTCTCCGAAGTTGCGATTCAATGGACGGAGGCGAGATGATGATATCCCTGGATCTGGTTCAGCCGCAGCAGAAGCAGCAGCGAACTGGCAATCCTGTGGCCGCTGATCGGAGTGTCAGCGAGACGCGTTACTACTCTGACGATGCGACAATTACCGGCGACATTTGCGACAAGGAGGAAGGACGGTTGCTGCTCGCAGGGGCGTGCGACAGTCGCGAGGATGGCGGAGCATCGATGCGACGATCGGCGGCAGAAGCGACGGCCACGGGTGATGGCCACGGCACCAGCAGCGGTTCTGCTTCTGCTACTGGTTGTGGTGATGCTGATGATTTCGGGGAGGTGGAAGAAGGCGAGGGGGACGATGGAGAGCCGAGCCTATGGTCGGCATTGGCGTTTGCATGGGTGAGCGCGCTGCCTGCTTGGCTGGCTGGTTGTTTGGTTCCATCCAAGTAACTATCTCTCTTCCTTGCTTCCTTCGGCGTAGCGCGACTCAGGTTGCGCGACTCGTCCTAGGGAGCTTAGGTTGCGTGTGCGCGACTCAATTTTCTTGCCTCTCAACTGTTGGTGCAACCCTACGGTTTGCACTCGGCTTGTTGTCCGTGTGCGTGCATGTGTGTGTGTATGGAATGGTATGAGGGCATGGGATAATATATATTTCATGCTTATAATTGTGTGTGAATGTTGAGTCATGATGTCGAGTGTGTGTGTCGAGTCAATAGCGAGTTATCGCTAGACGCGTGTTACGCGGTCGTTTGTGTCTCGCGCGCGGTTTCTATTTTGTCGTGCGCGGTTTCTATTTTGTCCTGTGTCGAACGTTCGGTGTGTCGCAGGTGTGTGCAGCAGACCCATCAAGAACTCAAGGATGAGTTTGTGATGAAGAGCCCGAGCCTTGGTGTCAAGCCTCAAGTGATTTCGAAGCTCGCCAAAAGGGTACACCTCAAGATATTGAAGATAGTTACATTACTTTGTGTAGTGTAACATTTCACTTGGTGTAGGCCCTAGTGAAGGGTAGTTTCGAGACCCTTCGTGATTGGGGACAGTGTGGCACTGTTCCACATCATTGGAGCATCACAGTTTGACTTCATAGCTTTGATGCCCTTTGCCAGGGGCGACGAGCTGTTCTCCTCTTCTCCACCCCCTCTCCTCCCCGTCTCCTCCTCTTCTCCACCCCCTCTCCTCCCCGTCTCCTCTTCTCCTCCCTTTTCTCCTCCCGTCTCCTGCCCCTCTCCTTTCCCTCTCCTCCCCCCTCTCCTCCCCTCACTCTCCTCCTCTCCTCCTCCGTCCAGATTCAAGCATCACAGTTTGAGTTCATAGCTTTGATGCCATTCACCAAGGGAGCCGAGCTCTTCACGTCGTACGGCCCCAAGGTGAACGAGGAGCTGCTGCTGGGCTACGGCTTCGTGCTGGACGGAAACAAGTAGGAGAACGTGCTGCTCTTCCGCACGCTGCTAGATGCAGTGAACCTGGTCGCCCTCGTCCTGCACCGCGACGCCGCCCGCCCCGGCGAGTGGGTGGTAGGCCTGGGTGGCTTGGGTGGGGCGACTGAGAAGGGCGGCAAGACAGGGGAGGCTAGGGATGTGAGTGAGTGCCACGAAGGGATTGAGGGAGAGGGAGAGGAAGAGGAGGAGGGGAAGAAACGGACATGTGCAGCGAAATACGGGGATGAGGCTGTGGAAGGTGGTGGTGCGGCTGTGAGTGCAGAGGCGGGCAGCAAAGGGGATATGGAGCTGAAGCAGGGCTTGGCACGCATCTGGGGAGAAGGGCTGGGTGACTGGCTGGTCAACGAGGGTGCTGATGGTGATGCGGATGGTGATGATGATGATGATGATGATGATGATGATGATGATGATGATGATGATGATGATGATGATGATGATGATGATGATGATGATGATGATGATGATGATGATGATGATGATGATGATGATGATGATGATGATGATGATGATGATGATGATGGTTATGGTTATGACTACGAGGAGGACAACGATGAGGAGGATGATGATGAAGAAGCCGCCGGGAGCAGGTGGGGCAAAAGCAAAGTGCAGGAGCGAGGGAAGAAGCGGAAGAACAGCAACAGAAACAAGCACAAAAACAAGAAAAAGAGCAAGGGGAAGAGCAAGAGCGGCAGCAGGCATGGAAAGCAGAAGCAGAAGAAGAGCAAGAAGCAGCAGCAATCAGACTCCCCAACAGCCAAGCTTCTGCGAGTGCGGCAGGCGCTCTGGCGGGTGGCAGCCAAGGCAGTAGAAGCAATCGCCAGGGAGCACGCCAAGGCAGAGAAGCAGTTCGTGCACGTGGGAGCCATGCCTCAGTACTTGGCTCGGCAGGAGATCAGGAGGGAGAGCGAGGCAGACGAGGTGAATGGCGGAGTGGAGGTGCTGGCAGGGAAATACAAAGACCCGAGTTTTGGCGTGTCCGTGTGGCGTGGGGGGATTGTGGAGCCGAATCTCATGGCGGTGTTTGCTGCTGTGTGGTACTACCTCAAGCACCATTCAGGTGAGACTCGCATGGGAGTGTTGGTTGAATGAGGGGAGGAGGGGATGGGGGGGGGACGAGGGTTGAGAGAGGCAAGCAACGGGGTGTGTCTGTAGTTAGGAGTAGCAGCAGGGGGTTGGAGGGAGAGAGCGAGGCGGACGAGGTGAATGGTGGGCTGGAGGTGCTGGCAGGGAAGTACAAGGACCCGAGTTTTGCCGTGTCCGTGTGGAGAGGTGGGATCGTGGAGCCGAACCTGATGGCGGTTTTTTCTGCTGTGTGGTACTATCTCATGCACCAGTCAGGTGAGAGCTGCTGGGTAAGCTTCGAACGATGAGTTTGAATCTGAGAGTCTATCTTTCTGGCATTCCTGTGTGGAGCCGAGCCGAGCCGAACCTGTCGGCTGTGTTCGCTGCTGTTTGGACTACATGGAGCGATGATTGGGTGTTAGGGTTTTTTTTTTGAATTATTGTGTTCCTGATAGTACATTCAAGGGAGTGTCCAAACGTGTTGGCTGTGTTCGCTGCACTGTGGTACTACCTCAAGCACCTTCCAGGTGAGTGAGATTTATTGCTTTCTGCCCTCTGTTACTCAGTTAACATCCAAGGGAGTGTCTGAATGTGATAGCCTAATCCTACATCCTCCCCTTCCCCTGTATTCTCTCGCCCTCTCTCCTCCAGAGCCCCCGGCCGACATGGCCAGTTCGGTGCTGTACCTGGGGTGGGCTGTGAGCAACAGTGGGTGTCGGGACGCACATGTTGATGGATAGCCTAGTCACGTTTCAACTCCTTCCCCTATACGTTCTCTCGCCCTCTCTCCTCCAGAGCCCCCGGCCGACATGGCCAGTTCAGTGCTTTACCTGGGGTGGGCCGTGAGCAACAGTGGCTGTCGGGACCCACATGTTGATAGCCAAATCATGCATTCACCCCTTACTCTTTCTCTGCTCTCTCCCCTCCCTCCGTCAGAGCCCCCATCGGACATGGCCAAGTCAGTGCTGTATCTGGGCTGGGGAGTGAGCAACAGCGGCTGTAGGGACGTGGCCTCTCCCTTCTCCAACGTGCTGCCCGCCCTGCAAGCAGCGGCTGACACCGTTCGTCTGCTAGCGCAGGCGCGGCTGCAGCAGATGCCGACCAGCATAGAAGAGGACGAAGCGATCCTGAGGGAGCTGGAGCGGTGCAAGAGCGGCGGGAAGATGGGGGCGGGTGGTGGGGAGGGGGTGAAGGGTGGGAAACTGGGGAAGGAAGGAAAGAAGAAGCCAGCACAGAGCAAGCAGCAGCAGAAGGCGAAGCTGACGAGCCTGGAGGAGGAAGTTTCCGCAAAGCGACTCAGCCGGCGCCGGCGCCGGCGTGCTGTTAGCGAGGGGAGGATCAGCGATGACTACAGCGATGATGACAACAACGAGGGTGACAACACCGAGGAGGAAACGGACCTAGAGCTCGGGAGCAGGAGCGATGAAGAGGAGGCGATAGATTGTGATGCGTGGGCGCGAGAGCGGGCCAGTGGGGAGAGCGAGGAGGAAGGCGGCGGGTCGGAGAGCGGGAATGGCAGCGGCGGTAGTAGTGGGGGTGCGAAGAGGCTTACTGTGATGCGGGTGCGGTGTGGGTGTGAGGAGTTTAGGGCGGAGGCGGATGAGCGGATGGTGGCGGTGCGGTTCCGGAAGGCCAAGAAGGCGGTGCTGAAAGAAGTGGTGGACCGGCTCAGAAAGGCGTGCCCTTCCTCCCCCACTGCTTTCCTCTGAAATGACGTTTGAGCCGACTCAAAAGTCACTTCGTTTTGAGTCGACTCGGAAGGCTACGGTAAGAAGGTGGTGATGAAAGAGGTGGTGGAGTGGCTAAAAAAGGCATGCCCTGCCTCCACCACTGCTTTTCTCTGAAAATCCAAGTCCATGGCCTCTTGTGATTCCACACCTGATTTCCCTGTGGTAATCCCTTCCTGAATTCCTTGTAGTACACCGCACCCTGTCATGGGGGTTCGTTGGTAGCTGTCCACCTGTGGTCTTTGTTTTGCGCAGAGACTGTGCCAGCCAGCTGGTAGGCATGGGGGGGAGGAGCATCGGAGTGCACTGTGCGGCGAGCTGGCAGAGCCACTGTTTGTTGTCGCTGCCTTGTTTCACCTGTCTCTGATGCAGCTCACCGTGCTTGGTCGTCTGGCCGCATTGCTACCACTAGATAGTGATAACCCAATTTAGCGCTGCTTTCTACATAGAACTTTCAATAAGTGTTTGCAACAATCACCACACCAATACTTGTGTTTTGACAGCTGGAGCTGCCCACATCCCGCTTTGGATACCACCAGAAACACCTGGAAACATAAAAATATGATAATTAGCAGGAGACATACCAGTAACACAATCTCATGTTCCTTGTACTTCGACGCATCATCCCCACCAACCGATTTGCACACCACGCCTTCATCTTCCCGCTTTATGAGACAGCCCACAATGCTTGAGCTGAGCATGGCTGCTTTTTCACCTCCCGAAATTAGGGTTTAGTCAATGGCATCAGCTCGCGTGACCTGCTCCACCAACTCCCTCACAATCAGCCGCTTCGGCGGGAACGATAACCTCTGCTGCAGCTCAGGCATCCGCCACTGGCGCTGCGAATGCGGCAGCCCGACGCGCCGACGCGCCGCACTCGCAGGCCGACGCGCCGCACTGACAGCGGAAGTTGTCACTGAAGGGTGCGGTTGGCGCCTGAGTTAGTAATGCTGCCGTAGTCGATGCTCAACTCTTCGCCTGGCGCGATGTCCCGCAAAGCCACCACCGTCACCAAGTCTTCTTCCATTCCGCAGTTTGGGTCGCTCGAGTGGTTAATGAGTTCGGGCGTCTCGGGCCCACGCGTCGGATCTGGTTTCTGCTCGTTTAACGACTCGGAGTCGTTTATTTGCAGCGAGAGCTGTCGCGTGCGCTCTTCGCCGGCAACCTTGCCGGCGAAAACGAGAACCCGTTCCCCGCGTCCAATGCTCGCCAAAGCAAACAGCCCCTTGGAGCCGTCCGCGTCGCCCTTGTAGCGCGGAACCACGCGCGGATCGTACCACCCCGACTCGGCCATCTTCCGCTCGATATAGGCCGAGCAGTGGCCGGCGTTTCGCTGCTGCCAGTCGCGCGAGCGCCACTCGGAAAATTTGAGCGTGCCGCGGCAGCACGTGGCGCCGCAGCGGCAGAGAAAACCGGCGTGCATGCTGCCCTCCGTTTCCGTGGATGCATAGTCGTACGTGATTTGCTCGCCGGGTTGAATGTCTCGCAGGGCGACCATGCAACGTGGGTTAATGTACCACGAGTTGGGGTCGCACGAGTGGTTGTAATAGAGGCTTGGGTCCTCGTCGGGGTCGGTTGTTGTGTCGTACACGTCGTCCTCGACCATGTACGAATATCGAATCATGATCTCGCGCTTCTCCTTATCGGGTACCGCCAATAAGTCATGAGCGTGGTAGTACACTCGCCGCTCTTCTTCCTCAATGTCCCAATCGCAAACGATCTCGCCTTTTGCGATTAAGCTGCTCGCGAAGAGCCCCCGGCATTGGAAACCGTAGAGCTCGTGCTCTTGCACGACCATGTGCGGGTGGAGACCCATGATGCAGGATCAGGAACGAGTGGGGTGGTACAACTAGACGTGCAGTCTGATAATTGGGAACGCTCTGAAGTTGAATATACTTACTGAGAAATGTAATGTACGTGTACTGTATTATATCGCTGCTAGATCATCTCGACGATCAATATGATGTTGAGGTGAAGGAATCTCGAGGATCTCAACAAGTGTCGAAGGCAGGCATCTCGAGGTGATGGAAACAGGAATTTCCCAAGGGAAGAGATCATCGAGAAGCCGAACATCAGCAGAGAAGTGGCCGAATTAGGGCCGCGTGAGTCGCACCCCTAGTACTTAGGTCCGAACCTGCGTACGAGCCTTCTTTTTTTCGAGCCATAACAAATATAAACCCCTATTGGATGGCATGATTTTAGGGAGAAATCAACCCTCAACACTCTGCGACAAGGTGTTTAGGGTTGACTTGTTTCTAAACAAAATTCTGTCCGCTTGTTGGGTGTTTAGGCTCGAAAGTTGTTCAGGCTAGTTGCGGCGCTGGTTCGGCACTGCTTCGAGGGGGTGCGACTCACACGGCCCTAATTCGGCCATCTCTCTGCTATTACTCGGCCCTAATTTGGTCATTTCCGATTTCCCAACCACTCGCGGGTTCTGTGGCGGTGGAGAAGTGTGAGACGGCAACTACATGGGAGTTTTACGCCAAGGCGTTACATTGGTAAGAGACGTTAGGGGAACAGAAACACGGTGTTCTTCTGCCTCAGAAGCACGGCGGCACTAACTACTGTTACTGTAATGATCTATCACTGGCTGCAGGATCCCGCAAATGACAGTAATCCACCTGTCACATACTGGTGGAGAACCACATCTATCTTCTGGACAGCTGTCACCTCAGTACTCAGGGCGTCCCCTCCCCACCCCGCGTTTGCCCGCCATAGATGGAAATTCGGACACATAAGAAGTAATCTTTTGTTTCTTGTATATATATGGATATGCCCCAAATTTGATGTACTGGATTTTCTGGACGAAACTATTTCTTTTTGAAGGAGATGCTTCGGATACATCATTCAAACCCTAACTTCCAGAAATGCTTTGGCAGAGTATGCAGACAGTTGTCATTTCAGTCGCGTGCCATTTAATTCAGCAAACAAATTGAAATCCTTGAGCAAAAAAACAACAGTCGGGGTAGCTTTAGAAGGAAAAGTAGGCGGGCAACAGCTGGTGTCCAAACTTCAGATGGCGGGAAAATGTAGGGACGCCATCTCACATGTGACTGTGATGAAAACACTGTGCTGTACCAAGTGTACCCCGTTGCCCTGTCAACTGTATATTCCAGGGGGGCAACTTCAAGCCGGGTTTTCGATCGAACCTGGACAGGGTCAGCAGCAGCTTGGAGCGAGCCGCTGGTGTTAGCAAGCGGACTCAGTCACATTCGAGGAAACTACGACAAACAACGGAACGGACTGTCATAAAAATTTTCAGGGAACACGGGCAGCCACTGGTGCAAGCAGTCTCAGGTCCCATTTGAGTGTGTTGGACGAACAAGGGGTCTGAGATATTTCGACCTCCGTAAGGACGTGGACCGGATCGAGGCGATCTGAGGCTGATTAGAGGCGACCCACATTCTCAACCGTGGGATGAGAGAAGATGGATGGTTGGGAATGTGGGTCGGTTCTGGTCATTGCGATCAGCCTCCGATCGCCTCGATCCGTTCCACGTCGTAAGCACCCCGCTTCTGGCACTCGAGTTTTGATTAAGACAACGTACAGCAAGTTCATACTGACCGTTAGTGAACACGCCCTTAAATTCACCACACCGCGATATGGTCCTAAGATTTTGTAACCGCTTATCTCACACATGCGAGGTGTGGTGTGGAGAGGTTGAGCACACCTGTAATATCTTTTCTGCCAATAGTAATTTGCGGGATCCATGTGGTCGATGTTACAGTTCTGTAGACCACGGATGCCAACGTGTACACACTGGAAACTGTAGGGTACACCTTCGATTTGTATTCCGTGCAGGCGAACAACGTGCGGATCATTTTCATCCTGGCTCTCAATGGTCTACACCTAGTCCGCGGTATTTTAACCGCCGCTATCTTAACCGCGCGAGAGTACTTCTCTTTGGTCAGACTTGTTTAAACGAGTAGTTCGAAAATTAATGAGGGTATAATCTAACATTCCCTTCGCGAGATCCGGCAGTTAAAACACTGCCAATGCCGATATTCCCCCTATTTCGGAGCACTAAGTGTGCGTTTCTTCAGACGGAAAAGCATCCGGCTGTAAACTAATAGCCTTGAAATCTTTGGGTGCCCATCTCATTACCCGAAAACGAATAAAGGGTGTTTGAAACAAAACAGTTCACGTGGTTAAAATACCGCGGACTAGGTGTAAGTCAGGAAAGTTGAAACCGCCCCCAAGCGTGATCAACCACGTATGATCCAGACATTCCACAATGCTCTCCGCCTCACGGCAGCCATGGATTCTACCGAGACCCTGGAACTCGCCAATGTACCACCTATTGTACGACATTCCCGCTAATAACATAACCATTGAGATCGTCTTCTCTCAGGGTACCAGAGGATATTTTTTAAATGTTCAAACAGAGAACATTCGTCCCTATCCCCTGAAGACGAGCAGAAGTCATGGTTTCGGGATTTCCGTGCGAGGTTATTTCAACATGGCATTTCCAAGGTTCCAAGCTACTTTCAAGGCTTCCATCAGGCATCAGCATGCAGGCATTGCTACAACTACAAAGGACGTCCAGTTCGTGCTCAGTTTTTATTATTCTCAGGTACTGCACTGGCTCTGGTGGCTGTTCTATCATCATTGCACGATGGCTCCTCGAGTTAAGAAGGCTGCTGCTGCTGCTGTCACCGCGGCTACCGCTGCTGCTGTCACCGCGGCTACCGCTGCTGCTGCGGCTGCTGCCTCGTCCACTGCTGGGGTTCCGCTGGTTTCTGCTACCTCTTCTGCTCCGCCGGCGACGACTCCAGCCAAGCCGAAGTCCATGTCGAGACTTCCTCTTAAGTCCGCTACCGCCATGAAGGCGTCCAAGGGACCCTTTCAGCCTGATGAATCTGAAGCTCTTACCCTCTCGGCGAAGCTCGCAGCCATCCGCATTGAGGAAGCTGCGAATGATAGCAAGAAGGGTAAGGAGGAAGTCATTTTCAAAGATGCTGTTTCTGACGCTGCACCAGAAG